AAGTTGCCCAGGCGGGTCTCGAACCCGCAGACTCAGGCAATCCACTCACCTCGGCCTCCCAAAGTGTTGGGATTACAGGCTGAGCCACCAAACCCGCAGACTCAGGCAATCCACTCACCTCGGCCTCCCAAAGTGTTGGGATTACAGGCTGAGCCACCGAGCCGGCCAGAAGCTTACATTCTAATGGGAGATAAAGACAAGTAGAATCATTACCTTCCACAGGCAATTCAAAAGTGGTAAAACTTTAAAGAAAACTAAAGGAGAAACATATAGGTAGTGGGAGAAATAGAAAATTTTTTAAAAAGGAATCAGAAAAAGCCCACCACGGGGGCAACATTTGAGCAACAGTTTTCATTTATAAAATAAGAAAATACTTATTTCATAAGCCTTGTTAACATATGGGCCTCACCTGAAATCTTGTTAGGAGTGGAGAATCTCAGGTCCCATCCCAGAGCTACAGAATCAGAATCTGATTCTGCCCCCAGTGATTTGTAATCATATCAAAGTTTGAGAAGCATTAATTAAAACAAATATTTGTGAGTGTCTATACCAGGGCTGGCATATTATAGACACTCAATAGATGCAATAATCCTTCGTTTTCTTTCCCTTAAGATGATCCTTACATCTTTCTAGCTATAATTATAAATAAAGATAACATTGAGCTTCTCTTTAACTAATTATGAACAATGCGTATATCCTGCCATTACTCTGGTTGGATCTAGCATTAAACCTGAAAAGAAAGCCAAGTTTTAGACAAAAGACATGAATATATTCACATGCAGGCACATTAAAAATCCTGACTACATTACAGTCTCCCTTTTATCAGTGGCCAAATCCCAGTCTATTCTTTGGTAATGTTTTTTCACCTCCAGGTAAGAAGGCAACAGAGGTTGTGCCCCCTGACGTTTAGTGATCAGGAGTTTACCTTGAAAAGATAAGACAAGATGTTGAGAAAATCATCTGGTGATAATAGAAAAGGTAAAAGCTGTTTAAAAGACAGGACAAACAGTAAACAAGTAATTCAAGTAGCTGAAATACTGTTTTTCTTTACAGAAACAGCAGTTTAAAAATGAGACAGAGTATAAACCTGTACAAATTTCAATATAACTTGCCTCCTGCAAAATGCTTAACACCTTGTGTCTTACATTTTCCTTTTCAGTCTTCCTTTTCTTTCCTAGCTAAGTAGCCCAACTTCCTTACTGTCATCTTTTCTTAAACCCTTATGTGAATTTCCATTTGAAAAGCAGTCCCTATGGTCCACATACAAACTGCAGGTTCTCAGCGACCCTAGTTAGAGTAACATAAAGCCAGATAATCTGCAGGTTGCCAGCTTCATTAATTGTGAAGTTCATTATCTCCATAGTAAAGGTTAAAAAAAAATTCCCCCGAAAAAGAAAATGATAGGTAAATTATCAAGTCTACATTGAAAGCGTGCTTTAACGTAGCAAAGGCGAACATGTTTTGGTTGGTGGAAATATAAATTGTTACTATTACTTTTTTCGGAGCATTTTTTCTATCCTCGGGGGAAGGGGTGAGCTGGGAAGGAACTGAGGCGAAATGCCGCTGCAGGTGGGGCAGGAACCCAGGAGGCCAAACTTTATCACTCTCTAGTGTCCCTCGAGCGCCGAGGTCCAGGGAAACGCAAGACACGGGATCTAAGACGGCCCCCTCCTTCCTCCCGCACTTGCCCCTTCCCAAGATGGCGGCCGCGACAACAGTCCGGGCACTCTGCGCGAAGCACTCTGGGAGCGGAAGAAGGAGGTCGCGCGGCCGCTGTTGAACCGGAAAAGGAGGAGCTGGGC